TTTTTCTATGCATATTTTATCTTACATTCTACATCACATTTGTTAAAAATGGGTTTAATTTTTCTTGTATTACCATTAACTCCCACTTTGCTTAATACATTGTGGTCAAAAAGTACTTCTTGARTGAAATTTTTTAAAAAATCAAAAGAACAAAAATATAAATTAGAACCTGAAGCCCTTTTCTCTGTGCACTCTGACATTTCTCCACTGGGAGGCAGCACATGACCTTAGCAATAACTTCCCCCATTCACCAGACCCTCCCCTCCARAAAACATCTCACTTCATATTATTATTATTATTATTATGTACTAGAGATTGAACCCATGGCCTTGTGCATGGGAGGAAAGCACTCTTATCAACCGAGCTATATCCCCAGCCCAAAAAAAGGCCCACTTTAATGATACCACTAAGGAGATGGTGGCTCCAGGCATTTCTTATTYACAAAGACAAGGAAGAGATGATACTTCTGACATTTAGTTACCTCTTGTTTCAGCTTCAAAACTTCAAAGTAAACAATAATGTATTGTAGGTTTTTCTTAAAAAGAAATAAGAGCTGGGAGAAAGAATTTTTGATGTTTTCATCCAAGGAAATGATAAATGTTTGAAAAGGTAGATATGATTACCCTGATTTGAACATTACACAATGTGAACATGTATCAAAACATCATGTGATACTCAAATATGTACAATTTTATGTGTCACTAAATAACTAAATAAATGGTGAAAAATGGCAGTGAAAATATCTGAAAGGGAGCTCTCAATAAGAATAGATGCTATGGTGTCTGCTGATATTTAATTGAAGGTATTGTTACTGTCTCCAACAGTCATAGCAATAAGACAGGCCTTGTAGTCTATGTAATCCATGGATGGGTCAGTAAGAAAATTTGCAACATGTTTTTGAGAAAATAAATTTCATCAAAGAATAAATAAGTTCCACATTCTTTTTTTTTTTTTTTTTGCCTCCTTGCTGCAAAAACCACAAAACACAGTAGTTGTGAATGTGTGAGGAGAGAAGAGAGTTAGTGTCTGAAGGGCATTGAGCTAAAGCTCATCCAAGAGGTGAGGTGAGGGTCAAAGATAGCTGATGGAACCTCTGTTGTAGCCCTGGATGGATGCACAGGTTCAAAGCCATTTTGCTCTCAGCAATAATGAGAGGTTAGTATGAGACATTTCCAAAGTCAGCCAGCTACAATGTAAGAGCTAAAGCTTGTTATTTTGTACAATCACTCTTTCTCCGTGAAAGCTAGTTTTTAACTGTTCTCATAGTAGCACATACAATTGCCAGCATTCACTGAATTCTGYATCAAATTTATACATTTTGATATAAATTTTATGGGACAACTGAAATTCATCCACTCAATTTGCAATGTTGTGACAGGTATCTAATACATATATGATGATATACGTTTATTATATATATACCATTAATAATTAAAATTATAATTTATTTCTGGAGTACCTCRTGTTTTATCTTTAAAGATTTGAAAGGGCTTGAGTGAAGCTATTTATTGGTAGAAAATATATCCACATTTTCCYAAGTCAGTGTTCTGAACTTATTACTAAATCCCCCAATTTTAAAATATAGGAACTCTTTCATTTCTAAAAATTTGCCACACCCATATTCTAGTTGAATGTTATTTGCCCATATAGCAAGTATTTTTAGTATTTTAACTCTTTTCTCAAGGACTAAATACCTTAGTTTTTTTTTTTTTAAATTCAGCTCATTCTTCTTTTTTTCTCTTTCTCTAATCCATCTCATTCAGATATCAGAACTATCAGATCTGGGTTTTCAAAAATACCATAAATAGGGTTTAGGGTGTAGCTCAGTGGGAGAGCACTTGGCTAATGTGTAAAGCTCTCATTTTGATCCCCAGTACTTCAAGCAAACACACACACGCACACACACACACACACACACACACACACACACACTCACACACACACATATACACACACACGTATATACACGGTTTTTAAAAAGTAAGATTTTTCTTACAATTTTTCATAAAGTTATAGTCTTGATGAGGACATGGGCAGCCTTGCAAGGTATGGAAAACAATTGACTAAACATGATAAGGTTTCCAGGTTTCCATCAAACTATCTGAAACCTTATCCCTCAAAGCCTCATCTCCTCCACCACATTAACATCCGGTTTCATACTCTATTGCTTGAAGCATTGCCCTCAAAAGTGGCAAACTGCATCAGTTAGAATTTGTGTCAGTTACACCTAATGCTTCTTATAATTATTTATTTAAAAAACAAGCAGTAGTCTAAATAAAATAGGAATTTATTTTTCTCTTRTATAAAAGAAGCCTGGAGGGAGGCAATTCAGGGAACTGGGCTTTGGTCATTCTGATCTATATGATCCACAGGTCATCTCAAGGACCAAGAAGCTGCTGAGCTCCTACCATTATATCCATATTCCACTAACCAAGGAGGGGAAAACCAGGTTTTCTGTTGGTTAAATTCACTTTGTTTTGTTTCTGAGGAAGCTTTCTCAAAATTTCCACCTAACAGTTTCATTTGCATTTCATTAGTTTAAGCCATGTAACTACAATAAGAAAAAGAGACTAAGAATTCGCCTTTAATTTAAGCAGAAATATTCTCACAAACTTAGGGTTCTGTAACCAAAGTAGGAGAGAACAACATTGGAAAGAAAATGGGAGTCCACACCACAATGCTTATTACAATTTTCTTTATGATAATGGAATACTTGAAACAACTTAAAAGGTCTAGTGACTAAATGGTTAACAAAGKGAAGAATATTCATATGGTAAGTGCTGTCTTGATGTTTAAAATATTGATGCACACTACTCTTTGTTGACATGGAAAGTTATCCATGATACAGTTTCAAATGGGAAGATAAAATAACACCAGCAGCTCTGCTACAATTTCCATATGCAAGATCTATCATTGAAAAGATTTTTTTTAATGTTGATAGTGGTTAGGTAACCACTGAGGTTTGTCATTTTTGTATAATTTTCTTTCTTTGTCATTTTCTATGTGCTTTAAATTTTTTACAAGTATACATTGTTTATGTGACTACTGTGGAAATAAAAAGGTACTGAATGAAATCATCTTCAATAATTCATAAAAAGCAATCTGTAAAACTTTCTATTTGCATGCCAATTTTTTACCATTAGAGTTTTAAAGCTGCCCTTATGACACTAATTTCATAGCAATGATACTATGAAGTATATGATTATTAATCTTCAAGTAAGTCTGAATAAAGCAATAGTGAAGATTTTTGTTTATAAAAATCCTTTTTGCCTTAGTTTTAGTCTTAGACTATTCRCCCTAGCTAATCTGAGTCTTGTACCAACTCTACTTACCACTGTCTCTGAATTTTTAGTATGGTATTTAGAAGAAAAGAAATAGGGTTTTTATCAAAACCTTCTGAAGTTCGTGCTTATAAATTTTAATTACAGCAATTGCTTATGTCAAGTAGTTATTTTCATTCTGTCAGATATCATCATATGTGAGACTTTGTCACTGGGAACTCAATAGGGAGCTCAATATTTGAAATCTGTCTTCCTCCCAACATGTACGACATTAAACCCTTTGCTTCATTTCCTTTATCTCTGAAATGGGTAGAATAATGACTCCTTTGCTTATGTTACAGGATATTGTGAAGGTTTTAAAATGAGATAACTGATGGGAAATGTTTTGCAAAGCTGAAAGCACCTACCATTCTGGGGTGCACGGAGTGATCTCAGAATAGAGGGGCTTATACAACATGGGGTTTTCAAAGCAGAAACGTTCATCTTTGATACTACCCACAACACCTGCGGCCGCTAGAGCCAATTAGGTTGCTTGCTACTTCAAAGGGCAGCAGAAAACCGAGGCACACAGGTGTTATAAAAAAGAAGAGAAAATCACCAATCCAGAAACCCACCACGTGGGGGGAAAAAAGGAGCCAGTATTTCCTGCATCCCGTTCTTGGGCTGATTGGGTAAACCTTAATTTATCCTGTAAATTGTATTGTATTAAAGGATTTTTCAGATAAACTATCCATGGTGTTCTTAAAATATCAATTTGCAAGAAGTTCATTMATTCCACAGAGCTGAGAATTAAGTATTTCAACTCCTTACAGAGGGAAAAACTCCAAAGGGTTAAGAACAGATATCTTTTCTCATTTAATTAAAGAAAAAAAAAGCCTATTTAGAAAAGTGGCCACTATGTACACACATGCTATTCTAGCATCTCCTTTGAAATGACATCTGTCTCAACTTCCACGTTCACAGGTGGAGGAAATTGGGGGTAGAGAGTTTGCAGTTGAATTTCATCTGCGCTAAGCTGAATTAAAGTAGTGCTGGAGGGACAGTGGGGGCTCCCCTTTGCTTGTGTCTCCTATTTAGCACCTGGATAAGCTCAGGTTGCCTTGGTAACCAAGCCCAAACKCTTTCTTAATGTTGAAAAGGGTGATTGATGCTTATTGACTTAGAATAGTTTGGGTGAATTGTGGTTTCTTTCACCACATAGATAAGTTTCTCATTTTTCTCCTTTATACTGAAGGGATTTGGTAGGAACATATAATAGTGAGCTTTTTATAATACCCCATGTATACACAGATTTGTTTCCCAACATTTTAAGCTCCCTTATATATCACCAGTCCCTTGTGATCTTTGTCTACTTTGAGGAATATTTTTGCATCTGTGTTAGAGATGCAATTGGCAGTGGCTTTTGAAGCAGGCACTCTATCACACTATAGTCAGCAACCCAGGGGCACTTTCTGGATGGCCAGATGACCTGGGTAACTCCACCAGCCTTCAACCACTCACTGATACTTGCTCCAACTAACTTCTCTTCATCTCAGTTGTTTTCATCTCTAACATGTTTTAGACTTTAAATAGGTCCCTGGAATATTTATATAAGACTTCCTTGAAATTTCCATAGAAAAAATTTTACCTCTGTAAATATATTAGCTTAAAGCAATAGTATGGGTTTTTTAAATTATTATAATAAGAGTGGTTAAAGTGTATTTTCTCCCTTGCTTTTAGCTCTATGAGTACCGTGTCTTATATGGATGAACCAGGAACTCGCCTTCCAGTCCAGATGGAGAACACCTATCAGTTGGGTGTGTTACTTAATCACTCATCCCTCTTATAAACTTATGATAACTGATGTTTACTTAAAATAATATYTGATAGCCTGTCATTGTCTTCAATCCTAGCATAAGAACCTTAATTGATTAATTTGATGCTGCTTTAGTTTCTTCCTCTGCAAAATAGGAACATCATTTATTGCCTGCTTTTCTTTACCAGTGTTTCCTAAATACAAAGTAATTCACTGGGAGGCATTGATGTGTGTTTGACATAACTAAATTAAGAATTTCATTAGATATTTCTGGATGGAGTTATTATATACATTTTACACACACACACACACACACACACACACACACAAGTTAAGTGAAAGATATATGCGTTGATGTTTTTTATCCAACAAAACCAACCAGTACTGTTGATGGGTGGAGGAAAAATCTTCAAGGCAGAAGCAAATAATTTGTGGTCCCCTGTTGACAGAGATGTTTATTTATTACCACAGAGGTTTCAGGTCTTTGAAAACAAAGATCTTTGCACCTGCCCCTATACTCCCAAGTGGAGCCCATAGCAAATATCTTTTCCCATTCATGTTTCTCATAGACCTACTTGTTTTCTCTAAATATGTACCTGCCCACGATTATCTGAATTTATGTGTAATTACTGCTCTGTAGAAATTCCACAGAGACTTCCCAAGAGGAAAAAAAAAAGGCCCCATGAGCCAGGGTAATTCCATCTGTGACCAGTTAACCCCAAGAAAATTATAAACTACCAGCGCCTCCTACTAGATCCTGTATGCAGTTTTCGACAGTAATCTCTAAAACTGCATGGATTATAGGGCTTCATCATTAGTCAGTCGACTAGGTTTCCACTAGCTAATATTGCTGCCATCAATACACTTTTATACTCTTTCTGGTGACAAGACCCAATTGTCCTTGGGGATGTTCCACAGCCACRACCATTACCACATTTTGTCCACACAATTCTGCTGTGACAACGCTGGCTTCATAGATGGCGCAGTAACTGATCCTGGATGGCATGTAACCCTGGTCCATCCGATAAAAACTTCTGAGATGAAATTCAGGAAATATTGTTTGAACTGTTAGAGAAGCAGGTAAGGCCATGGAATCCAAACAAATGTAGGGTCTGTGGTATTTTCTACCCTCTTGCCCTCACATAGAACTCCACATGAAACTGAGAGAGAGAACAACTGAATCCTGTTGCCATATTTGAATCCTAAATCCAGTTGGCTATCTTAGACTTTTCAGTTTGGATCAGGATTTTTCCCCACTTATAACGAAAACTTCTTAAGCACTGGGGGCCTATACCCTTGAGCTACACCCACTGAAAAGCTTTGAATCAGATTTCAAAAAGATAAGGCAGTTGAAATGTGAATTCCTGTGTTTCTTCTTTGTAAAGCTACATTTTCACAACGTATTTCTTCTAAATAGACAAACTAAATTATCTTATCAGTTTTAGTACTGGGTGTTGGACCAAGTTAGAAAAGTAATTTCAGGAAAAGCTTAGTACAGATAAAATATTTCCATATTTTCTTATAAAACTCTGCGTGAATTATTTATTTATGATTAAAGTCTCTTTATGTTCCACAATCCACTTTTTTTAAGCATTCAGATAGCCATTTTAATCAAAACTKTATTTCCACTTCTACTTATTTCTAGGCTTATTTTGCATGAGAAAGGTACTCTGTGAGCCTTTAGTAAAATTTTCTCATATCTGCACAATGTAATACTGGCTAGAAGAGTGGGGATGGAAAGCAGTCAGCTACCAACTCTTATCATGTTTAAATTTTTATTTTAGCCAATGACGTTAGCATCGCCTAAACACATCTTAAGTGTATAGCAGGTTTGTCCTCTCTTTGAACAATTACAGTTAYCAAAATTGAGGTGCAAMATGAGTGTAATTCATGAAAGTAGGAGAGGAAATGGAGAAAGTTTTTTTTTTTWWAAGTAAACATAATTTGCATTTTTTCACTAATTAYTAAACAAGAGTACAGAAGAACACACAGGCTTGGGATCTGATACATCTAAATTTGAATTCTAGTTTYGATAAATTCTAGGCAAATGATATTTGAGTTAAGTGTTTAACATCCTTGAATCTTAAGTTTCTTCATATGTAAATAAGGATAATAGTCTATGAGAATCAAATGAGTTAATCTATTTGAATTGCTTCTCTGTTGGTTTCTATTGCTCCTSAAAGTGTCAGACTCCAGAAATAGACCATAATCTCTAAGAATAAAGGCCTCCTGTGATATTCAATGTAGCTTCCTATTGATTATAGMTGAAGTGTTCCATGAGACTTTTTCTGGAGTTATGATTAAAGTGGTGCCTGATTCTTTAAAAACGTTGTTTATAAGCATGAGGGCTTTTGTTACACATCTTTGCAGTCACATGAAGACAGCCTGTCCGAGAATGAAGCAGCGTAATAGTGAGAACCTACATACTGAGAGGAGAGACAAAGATCACTTGAGCTCAGTTTTGGTGCAGTGATCGGGTCCTGTCTCTGGTGTCAGATTTTCTTGGGCAGAACTGGTCAATCTCTCAGTATTGACTCTGTGCCACCCCATGGGTCCTTCCCAACCCTGGGGGCCYTACTATCTTCCTACTTATCTCCTCTCCCATCCTGCTGTCTTCTCAGCAAGGCGCATCCTCTCCCACCGCTTACTTCAGAGGGCCATAACCACAGTATAACAGCAAAACACCAATAAAATAAATATCTAATGARTGTTTCATTATGTGGTACAACTGTTCTAAACATTGTAAATATTTAACTCATTTCATCCTAACGAAAATTAATATGTTGTAATTCTCCTTCCCCCAGCTTAGAATTGGGCCTGGATATATTAAGTGATCTTAACTATAGCTGTCGTCTTTTAAATCTATTTTTAATTTTATTTGGTCATGATTTCTTCACATCTTTGCCTTTAAATTTCTAAAACAGTTGGGGGAAAAGCTACCTAAAAAAAAGAAGAAAAGCTAGTCAATTCTGAAAGTGACTTCAGAGAAGCTTAATTTGAAAATCAAACATTGACTCTATCTATCTATTTTCTATCTATCTATCTATCTCTATCTCTATCTCTCTATCTCAGCATCCCAATCTAAGCAATGGATGATGCTGGATGTATAGGGAAAGGCCACAATGAAATAAGAAAAGAAATTTTTATTTCTATATTTCAAAATTTTTTTCAAAATAGAAGCTTATTAATAGGATTGGGGAAAAAAACTGAGCAAAGTATGGAAAGAACATTGGAAAGACAATGGGAACTGTTGGGAACAGGGACTCAAGTGTCTCCCAGATTCTCTTTYTAGTGCTAACCTGTGTGCAGGCTTCCTTTCTACAATGAAAAAATATGGCCTTTGGCAGTTCCTAAGATTCACAAGTCTTCTGCTAAAGGAAGAGGTTGATTCTTTTTTTTTTTCTAGTTCCAGTTTAAAATAAGAGTGTCTAATTAGAAAGGACTCTAATTGGTCTGTCTCAGGGCAGTGTCACCTGTGAGTCAATCAACCATGCTCARAACTTGAGCTTATGGAAGGTGAGAGGTAGATCCTAAAGAGCCACATGAGTGGAGAATGAAGAGAWCAGTTCCCAGAAAGGAAGATATTGTTCCCAGAAGGAAGAGAGGAGCACTAGGCGGACAAAATACCTGCACTCAAGGAATYTGCCATTTTCTAAAGGAAATCAGGCATATAAGTAGATACAATGCCAGGCAGAACTACGTTCCATGTGAGTGACGATGGCCAAGAATATTCAAATGGAAATTTTCTATAAGATCCACAGGAAAGTAACAGAACTATATGAATTGGAACTAGTTTACAGGGGTACTTACATGTGTTGCTCTATCTCTGACCCCAAGCAGCAGGAACAAGCCATTCACAGATTGATAATCTCATGTCTGTTCCATAGAAGAAAGATTTCTGCTGAATAATGGTTAGTTTTAATAGYGGTTAGTTCTCAGAGTCATCGTATCACATGTGTCATGTCGACTTCCCACCACGATTTAAATTGAAGTGAGCAATTTCTATATTATCCAAATGAAAACACTATTTTTGGATCCTCAGGTGACTAGCYTATGGTCACAAACTACACCCTTCTGTTAAGTTCAGCCTAAGAAACTKCAGCAGGAAGGTAGAAGGGAGGACTGTGTAGCCTGGGAATTCACTTTCCTGRATCCCTGCCCATGGGCTCATCTCAGCCAAAGGAGGCTAGCTGCTCACAAGGGAGCCATCTCCACACAACTGTTCTGGGATTAAGAACTGCCTTCCCGGATTCCTCGAGCCAAGGGTTGGGTGAGGGTAACATCCTCACTTCCACTGGCCATGGAGGACTGCACTATCCCTTAGGATTTCCTCCGACCCCGTCAGACCCTTGATTAAACCATTCTGGATTTTCCTAACTTCAGTTTGCCGTGTTTACTTAGACCCTGACAGATACARGCATTAAACTAAACTTATTAATAGATACTGATGACTACTAAAAGAGAATTGGATATGATTCCCAGTCTCATTCCTTCATCTTTATCAATTCAGCAGTGACTCRGAGTGTAGATGTCAAGCCCTGACACAGTTGCCACGTTATATCATGACATGAGCAGATGACCAGAGGGATCATAAGGCTCATATTCCAGGGATGCAGGATAAAACAGGTTCGTTTGAAATAATGACCTGAATGTGAACTAAATGCGGTCSAAAATATAAACTCTAGTATTAGACAAACCTGTCCATCCCAGCTCTGCCACTGTGTGATTCTAGACAGGWTAATGAAATTAACTTAGACCTGTRTATTGGAGATCACAAGGGAGATTCAGCTCAGATGTATAAACAATTATATAAACAAAAGTAAAGTGCTTATCATGGTGCCTGATACATAGAAAATGACTAGCAAAAAAAAGTAGCCATTATTTGTGTGATGATTATTATCTATAAAGTGTTTAATTCTATTTAAATTCAGATATCATACATTAMATATTTATGTGCTTAGCACTGAATTAGACTTTGAAAAGGATAAAATCCAATCTTGCTTACCATTTCACTGGAGAGAAACTCAGATTTGCCTTAGCTATTATCAAGTGGATGATGAGCCAGTATAGCAGCAGGGACCAGTGTGCGGGAATTAGGGAGAGCTGGAGGGATGAATTGCACCTGAGRGGAGGTTCAAGTCTATCTGAAGAAGACATCTGAGCTGGACTTGAAATATGAGTGGMTATTTCTCAGATGCACAGATGGGGAGTGGTGCTCCACTTGAAAGTAAGTGCAAGAAAAAAGTCACGTGAGCATCCTTTAAAAGACAGGTGGGCCCCAGGAGCTGGAGSAGCGTGGGTATGGGGGCTATGGCAGAGAAGCAGAGACCATTAGTTGGTTAGGAGCCAAATCATAGAACTTGTCGAGGGAAACATCACTTCAGAGTCCAGGGTTTCAAGCAATTGTTCTCTTTGCCATGTGGTGGGTAAATTAGAGGATGGAAGAGCTGGGGAGCCAACTGGAAATATGTTGACACTGAAGTTAAGTCACCAGAATGGGAACTAGGAAGAAAGATCTGCAAAGTCAAACAGTGTTAATCACACTCTGTACATAGTCTGATGTATTGTCTTCTTTTCTTCCCCCAGAAAAACCTAACTGGACACCTCATTAGGACCTCTTTCTTCCTTATTAGATAGAGGCCACCAGACTAGTAAAGGCCTCTCCATGTTTCAGTGTTCTCTGATTAGCCTACGGGGCAGGAGGATATGATTTTAAATTACTTCTTACAAAAGAACTTCCATGTGTATTTTCAGGTCCTATCAAACATTTTCCTGTGGTCACTGTTAATCATATCTTGCAAGATGTGTTGACTGAGTATCTGCAAAAAGAAGAATATGAACCAGAGTTCTGCAGACAGATAACTAAAACAATTTCAGAGGTACATGTGTGATTTGCCTAAGTGGTTAGCTGTAACTACAATATTTGCTGAAAGCACACCACATCTTCTACTTTTAATGAAGGAAACTCACCTTTCAGTAGTAGTTTAAAAATTATGTTTTTTTAAAAACTGTTTATTATGTCATATGCCATATATGTGTTATATAACAAGCATTTGTCTAAAACAATGTAGTTTTTTCATTTCTTCTAATTAGTTATACATGATATCTGAGTACATTTTGATTCATTGTATAGAAATGGAGTACAGACTTTCATTTCTCTGGTTGTACTTGATGTAGAGTCACATTCATACAATCGTATATATACTTAGGGTAATGATGTCTGTCTCATTCCACCATCTTTCCCACCACCCCACTATTCCCTCCCCTCTCTTCACTCCCCTTTGCCCAATCCTAAGTTCCTCCATTCTTCTCTTTCCTTTCTCCCCTCATTATGGATAAAACAATGTATTTTGAACAAAAATATATAAAAACTACTCCACTTTAAAAATTTTTATTGTAAAAGATAGTGTTTTGGTCATCATTTTCTTTTCACCATCGCAGCTTTTTAAGAGCYATTAAATATAGACAATGGATCCCTAAATCCTTTCTAGTTTCATCAACAAAATTATTACCAATTTAGCATGGTTTCCTCTGCTTTGTGTTTTTAGTGAACTATTTAATAAACCTTTGTGACTGCTCGAGTTACAAGAGATTGCAGAGAATGACTCCTCAGAACTGAAAGACAGTGTGACTCTAGTTAGACTAGCCTAGCGCTAACACTCTTGAAGGGATGCCACCTTAATTTAGGTTTTCAAGAACACAGAATTAAATTGCAATGTGCCCTGAATGAGTTTTTCCATGTGCCTTAGAAAATGTAGATTTATTGCTGATGTTATGATTTTTCCCCTGAACATCCCATCACATGAGGACAGTTCTAAAGGAAATCATAGCTTCAGTTCTACAACCATTATGGAAAGCATCTACGATGCATCACACTGTTTTTTWAAATCCACTATGTTTATAACAAAGGTTGAGATTTCTGAATTTTAATATGTGGCTAAATAAGGAACCCCTCCTTTTTTTAAATTTCTAGGTTATTAAAGCCCGGGTCAAGGAATTGATGATTCCACGGTACAAACTAATTGTAATGATTCACATTGGACAACTGAATGGTCAGAGCATACTTATTGGAAGCAGATGCCTCTGGGATCCTAAAAGTGATACAGTTTCATCCTATGTTTTCAGAAATTCTTCTCTCTTTGCTCTTGCAAATGTCTATGCAGTTTACTTTGAGTGATTGAAAATGAGAAATGTTGATTTTTCTTTTCAAATCATGAAATGGGCTGTATCTATGCACACGCAAAGTGTTACTGTCAAAAATTTTAAGCCTAACACTTCAAACAACTGGAAGCTTTTGAACCTTTTCACATTGTAAGGATCAGGGTCAGGGAGGGTGTACGAGAGAGTCTTGTTTATCCACAGCAGGAACTAAGTCTTGGTTCTGTTGGATTGTTTTTCATAAACATAGATTCTTATTAAATAAAACTGTGGGTAGTAATTATTTTATTTATCCTTTAGCTAGAAAGTTAGAATTTCCTGCAGTCCTTTTTGATGAAGAGAAATTTTGGCAATATATGACCATGTATCCTGGCCAACAGAAGATAGTGGAATAGTCAGCATGGTATACACAAATGATAAATGTTAATATGCCTCAGTGCTGCATATAAAGGAATACTGGTTTTCATTTTGCACTTAATAAATTGAGCAGCATTCATTAACTGCAATTATTGTTACATGTACCTGACAGTTGAAACTGCTGAGGTAGAATTAATGACTTCATAACAATTACCRTGGTCCCATAGGGCCTCAAGCTAAAACTAGAAGCTCTTGTGGGCTGCCTGCACTTTACAAAATTGTGGAAGGACGGTACACTGGCTCTTCGATAATGGAAACTATAACTGAACAAAGGCTTTTTAGGACACTGAAGTAGACATTATATTAAATATACATGATGCTTAATAGTAAATGTATCTGTAACACATAAAATCACGTATTAGAAAGAGACACTACTTTTAAATATACACTGCCTGATGTGTCTCTGAATAGGTTCGCCCCCACTAATGAAATTTTACACAAAATGTATAGCTGGCAGCTTAACAAATAAARCATGTATACTTACCATTTTGTTCCTCTGAATTTAATACCAAAGTGACCCAGTGTGGTTTTGAATGGATGGGCATTAAAATTTACAGGGCTAAAATAGCTTATTATTCTGCTGGTTAATGTATCTTATACCATGGATCATTTATTTTTATGGAGCTTTCAGGCCTTTGTGTGCATGTAAAACGATGCTGTGTTGTTCCTGGATGGTAAGTCGACTGCCTAGAGGACATTTGTTAAAGGTCAAAGACAAATCTTTCACATATGGAGAAAATTAGCAATGTTATAGTCCCAAGGAAAAAATGATGTGTAATTCATATCAAAAAGAAGTTAACAAATGGAAAAACCAGTTATTGCTTTCTACTTTTAAATGTTTGGGTGTCTTACTTTTCCCTAAAATGTAGTACAAAATGCCTGCCTTTTAAATCCCTTTCCTTCTCCTTTTTCTGGCTTACCAAATGACTTTTCAAAGTGAATTTGTCAATTTTCAGGGTTTTTTCAAAAAAAAATTTTTAGCTATTGATGGACCTTTGTTTTATTCATTTATTTATATGTGGTGCTGAGAATTGAACCCAGTGCCTCACACATGTTAGGCAAGCGCTTTACCACTGAGCCACAACCCTAGCCCCAATTTTCGGTTTTTTTTCTGTTGGTGCTTTCATGGGAATATGTGTGTGTGTTAATCTATCACAACCAATATTTGTCCCGTCTCCACAGGTYGATTTTGGATCTGGATTACATTATAAATCTTGTAACTAGATGAGCTTTGTGTTTTTCATTACACATTTGTGAACAACTTCCTTCTTGGACCAATGGCAGGGACAATCTCACAACAATTTTGCATGAATAAAACAGAATGAAGAAACATTTGTAGTAGACAGAAAGCCAATTGTAAAAATGTTTTAAAAAGTATTTTTTTTTTCAGAGTGCTAAATTCTAATCCATGAAATAATTTATCAGCATTTATTCTAAGTTTTAGCGGGCATCAAAGCCTTAAAACATGGTAACAGGTAAAAAAAACAAAAGAAGCAGTTCCTCATCACATTGCCATGTACTACTGTAATTCAGATGGATTCAGAGATGAATTCCAGCAATTATATAGCAGTAGAAGAATATACAGTAAAAACCAACTTCTTGTGACTAATTTAGGAGAGTGCCAGTTACCACACAAAGCCTTGGGRTAAGAAATTTTTAAAGAAATGACACTGTAAATTTGCAGGAGTTATTTTACTCTAAAACATGCTTAACATCCCTGGCATTTCCCTAGGCTTCCTATGTGCCATTCTTCTTCCCAGACCAGCTATGTCCCTCCTCACCTCAGAACATTCACTTATGCTCTTCTCACCTCAGAACACGCCTCCCCATTCCCTGTCAGCACCTTTCTTCACTTTTCTGAGTCAGCCTCAGGTCTCTCCTTCTCTCCAAGTCCTTCTCCCCCTGTCGCATCCTCCTGCTCTCTCTTCTCTGATGACTCTCATAGTTGAACTCCTGCTTGTTCCTCAGTTAATTTTTTTGAATATTAGTTTTGTTTCCCCATACTAGGTCAAAACAATTGAGTACATGGACCACATATCCTGACAACACCTTACAAATAAAATCTAATTCATCCTTACCCTTAAGTACGTGGCCCAGAGTTGCCCAACTCCAAGCTTCACAGAAAACAGCAAAGCACAGTCCCATCTTTGAGGAACGAGATCGAATCCCATCAGAATAACAGATGGAAGGAGACCCTCATCGTTATACCAAATACATATATGATGATGTGAGGAGGAAGAAAAAAAGAGAGAGAGAAATGTGTCACATTAGATTGGGTAGAGAGAGGTGATGGGAGGGGAGTGGAAGGGGGGAGAGGGGATAGGAAGCGCAGCAGAATAAAATAGACACTAGTATTGCTGTATGTATGTAGGTGGCCGTATAACCAATGTGATTCTGCAACCTGTACACTTGGAAAAATGAGAATTCATACCCCATTTCAATCAAATGTATGATATGTCAAGATCATTGTATTATCAGGAGCAACTAATTAAAAAAAAAAAAAGAATAACAGAAGTACACAGGTGACCACAGTATAGGGCAGAATTTGTAGTCACAGGAAAAGTTCAGGCTGCTTTTGTCTGATTAGAGGATTTATGGACAGCTTCGTGAAGGGGAGTAACAACTTCATCTAGACTATGAAGCGGGTGAGTAGAAGTCCAACAGACACAGGAGTACAGCAAGGAGTATAAACTGGATCAAACACAGCATTTGTGAAGGTAAGTTGGTTAGAAGGTGGTAAGACTGGAAGGTGACTGGGTAAGGCAGTGACCCTCAGACCAAGGGGAATCATCAAAGGCTTTTCAGTAGAGCAGTGTAGGTGAAGCAACTGTGAGCAGATGGTGGAAAAGAGCAGGAAAAAAAGAACATGTAGGAGAGATGAGAGGTGATGACCGAGGCAATGGCATTGAAAACAGGAGACAGCCGTTGTGTGCGACGTTACATGGACAACGTCTAAAGCACTCCAGCCTGGAGAGATGGCCTAAGTTTTCAAGCTCTGGGTGTTTGCAGACTTCAGACCAAATCCTGCTATTCCAGGCACTTTTTAAGTAAAATTAAATAAATCACTGATCTCACCAAGCTGCAACTTCCCTGTAGTAAAGTAATAATAATGTTGGTGCCTACCACACAGGATTTTGGAAGATGAAATTCATATTTGCTAAATTTAACAGCATAATCCCTGATAGATAGCCCCTGATGAATAGTAGCTCCTGTGATTGAAAGTTTAAATCTAAGTAATTAGAATTATGATTCTGTTAGCAAAAATAGGGATATCAACAGAAAGGGTTTGAGAAACAAAATACCAAGTTTTGTTTGGCACTGGGAGTTTCAGTTAATAGTGGAACATTAGATAGAGACAGCCTTGGGCAACAGAAACAGCAAGACTGGAGCTGAGAAGCCACATCAAGGTAAGAGGTTTAGGACTTGGCAGTCATCCAAATGGAGACTTAGCATCTTCCTCCTGCTTTATAAAATATTCATTAGCCAAATCTTCAGCAAGCATAGTCAGTACTAATAGCAAATTACTGAAAATTCAGTTAGCTCTGGGAATATCAACCAGAAACACTCCCCCAAAACCAGCAGGGAATTTACTTTTCCCCACAAAACCAAAATTAAGTGATGTCTTCCTTTATTTCTTGATTAAAAAAAAAAAAAGAAAAAAAATCCTATAGGATCCCTTTGGGTTGTCAGACATCAAAAGAAATGTAGTTTCTTTAAAAAGAAATGTTAGCTTCTCCAATGAAAGTATCCATGCTGTCATCTGCTGTCATTAACAGAATGACTTTAAAAAAAACACATAATGGGAGGCCCTATGACCAAGTCCAACAGATTATGTGCCCAAAAGTCAAGGCTAGTTTAGTTCACTCACTTCATAAATTCTTGGGAATTATTCTATATATGGGAATGATTTTTAAAAACAACAGTTGAAAAATTAGAGCTTAACCCTCTTAGAGAATGAACGTTCCCTTGCTGAGACCATCATGTAACCTATCCTTCTAGATAATGCCAAAAATGCATTAAGAAAACTCAACCTTACATAGTTACTGATAGTTTGCTGTGCCTTTTTTTAATATTTATTTTTTTATTTGTAGTTGGACACAATGCCTTTACTTTATTTATTTATTTTTACGTGGTGCTGAGGATCAAACCCAGGGCCTCACACATGCTAGATGAGTGCTCTACCCCAGCCCCAACCCCAGCCCCTGCTATGCCTCTTTACTTCCAGCATTTTATACAGGCGTGGCCTGCGCCCACCATCTCTGATTTTCTCTGTTGTTCTCCTCGTCTGATACTTTCACCTTCTGCAATCTGGTTCTCATTTCACCAATGCGTTGCTTTCACAAACAGTAAAAGTGTTCCCACAGGCCAAATGTGCAAAACATCCTCCTGCTGCGTTCCACCTCAGCTATCTTCCGAACTCATTTCTTTTGAGTAGCCATGTAATATAGGTGTTTGGGGGATTTTGTTTTTGTTTAAAAGCATAGGTTTGAAAATAAACATCTCCTTTTGCTGCCAATCTTTACTAGCTGTGTGCCTTTGGGAAGGTGGCTAGTTCTCTGTGCCTGTTCCCTCAAAGGTAAAAATGATTATAATTGTGGTCAC